CGCGGAGGGCCCTGAGTCAAAATCATATACGACTCTATAAATGTAAGCCGACAAGCTCGGGAGAGTAGCCGTGTCACTTTGTGCGAGGGGAAAATGACGTACATACTTTCTACCGGCGGTAGAAATATATCTATTAATATCACATCGTGCAGAAGCGCCCCGACGCGACGGTTGCAACAACGGGAGCAACGACAAAGACGGACACGTAGGAGGGAAGGAGGGGGGGGCGGGGGATCCTCGGATTACGGCGTCTCGCATTTATAGGTCAAGACCGCTGACGTACCCACAAACTCGCGCAGCGTCGCCGTTCCAGCACACGTAAACAACCTCTGGTTCACCGAATCCCCCCGGAAGTTCGAGTCGTCGTCGAAGTAGTCGCTGATTATTCAGCGTCTAGCCGTGTCGCGTGTATAGGCGTCCTCGAAATACAAGACCGACCATCTATGAGGAGACGACAATGTGCTGACGCTAGACGCGGACTAGACGCGCGTCAGCGCCGTCAGCGTCGTAAAAATTTGCCCTCCCCCCCCCCCGTTGCGTGGAGATCTTTCATTTCCACGTCGCGTCCATGAACAATTTTTGGCGAACCGAGAAATTTATGCTGAGATATTTTTCGATCGATCGAAAGCGGATACGGTTCTTGCGCGGCTGCTGCGCGATTTACCATCACGCGGTTTAACGCGACGCAGAAGAAGCCGCAATGGTCGTGCCGTTCTCCGGTACCGGCAAGCGGTTCGAAAATGCCGAGGCCGAGGTTCTTTTTCCCTCGCCGCGAAAGGGTCTCATTATATATACGAGGCTTTCGCAACGCCGCCGCCGCCTCGCAGGACTTCTAGCTTCTAGATACCTCGAAAAAAATTTGGGACCGTCGAACGTGAGAGCGCAGGCAAACGATCGTATGATGTGAGAGACCTCTCTCGGCCTTTGAGATAGCCAACTCTCAACATCTTCAGCCCGCGGCAACCATATCTTTTAATTGACTTGATGCCTCGAGACTGGAGCAAAAATATCTTGTTACATCTTGTTCTTAAGGCAACTTTGTGCGTAAGAAATTCCTTTTCGCGTATCTTGTATCTCTTTGTCCTTTGTGTAAGTTATTTATACTTGTATTTTTCTTGCGACATGACGCGAATATTTTTACACTTTCGTGTTTTATTTTTGTACATACGTATATATCTGATTTTCCTGTTTGACGTGGCAACAGTCGTCTTCGCGTTCTGAGACGAATATGCAAATCGAGATCGCGAACAAACATCGCGAGAACGAAACTTGTAGAAAGAGAGAGAGAGAGAGAGAGAGAGAGAGAGAGAGAGAGAGAGAGAGAGAGAGAGAGAGAGAGAGAGAGAGAGAGAGAGTCGTGTGTTGATTTTATCGTTCGGTCGAACTTGTAACGTCAAAGCAAATAACTTCGTCTCTCGATTATCTCACGTATACGTTTTCTTTTCTTCTGACTTTCCGTGATCTTTGCCGTGATATTCCACTTCGGTTCGTATTCGTTGTATAGTTTGACGACGTCGCGTCGCGAAAATGCTAAATCATTGCGTGATGCTTCTGCTCATCTTGTTGGATACAACCTTGCCCGAGACCGAGGCGATGCTCGAAAGTCTGGCATCATCGGGCGCATCGACGTAAAGTTTGCGTAAAGTCTGGCGGCATCACGAGACGATGTTCGTCGCGCGATGCTCGCGTGAAGAAACTGAGGTCGACGCGCGCGCGCGCGCGCGCGCGAGCGAGACCCCTCACTAGTCGTCACCCGTGAGTGGCGACGCGTGTCAACCTTGCCGGGTCCTTGAAAGCACGCGACCGCGCGCGATACGTACGTCGAGCCAAGACGGAACGGCAGGCAGGTTATTAAACGTGTGCTGGCCAGCTTCTAGGAATCAGCTGATTGGTGAGCGACTGGGGGGATTCCTAGAGGTCCGCCTCGGGGAAAATTCGAACTCGCGCGTCTCTTACGAACCGGATGGACTCGGGTTTCGTCGTCGGGATGTCGGACCGAACGCGCCAACACGTGCGGCTGTAGTTTTTGTGGAAAGTTATCGCGACTAACGCCAACAGAAGAGTGAGACGATTAACGCAAGCAATTTCTACAGGCAGAGCCAGAGCGCGGCTCTGGTAGAAAATGACCAATTTTCGAAAAAGTACGAAAGTTACGAACAGGCAAAAGTGTTTGATTTTATTCAACGTTCGTTTTGAAGAGTGTACAATTTTTGCAAGAAATTACAAGCCGTTCACGTTTGGACCGTTCGGTAATTGCAGTGTTAAAGCACGCTTGATCGGAAGCTCGTTATATTACCCTAGGTACCCCTCTTCGGTCTATTGTAATATCGTCTTTATAATGGATCGTGGATCGGACGCACATCACATTTTTAACACGAGCGACATTGCAAGCGATTGCAAGCTGGCGGAGGAGAAGAAGAAAGAAGAAGGATAGAGAGAGAGAGAGAGAGAGAGAGGGGGAGGGGGAGAGAGGGGGAGAGAGAAACACGCTTCGTGATAGGAGAGACCGGCGGGCAAAAAACTCGACGCTGTTGCTTCTCTATTTTCTTACGCTCGGTAATTAACCTTTGCGACCGCGTTGAGCGAATTATCGTCATAATTATTCTACGCCAGCCGAGGCCTTCGTCTCGCGCCGGCTCGATCGTTCGTCATAGTATCAACGTACACGGCCGACGCGTGACGTCCGTTAAATGTTGATGAGCGAGCGCTCGGGAATTTCCTAATGCGAAGATAGGCGTCCGACGCGAACTCTCGGTCGATCCGTCGGTCAGTCGGCAAGAAATTCCCTGTGAGCTAGACGAAAGGTCCGGCTAGTTCGCGCGAGATTTTCGTCCTTTGCTCCTTCCGTCGTTGGAATAATGGAGTATATTATGTTAATTCCTTCGCCGAAAAGAGATCGCCGGTACACTGGCGACTGGCCCGTCACGGAAGAATGCGGCGTCTAGTCCATCGTCCGAAATCACGCACAATGTACGAAATTAGTCGCTGATAAAGGTTGCCTTTCTCGTCAGCGGAGCGTGATGTAATTAAATCACTCTGTAATCTCTCCCCCACCCCCTCTTCCCTTCCCTTCCCTTGGCACAATTGTCACTCTAACGATCGTTAGGCTCATATTGTTGCCCGCAGGCTACGAAAAAACATAGAGGAGGAGAGCGCAGGAACGCGATTAGGGCGATGAAACGTGCGCGGCCGGCCGGCCGGTCGGCGCGCTTAATCACCGTCACGAAAATCGCGCGCTCGCCGTCGCGCGCCTTGGTGGGAGAGAGGTAGGTAGGTGGTCGGATTCTTCTTTCTCGATTCGAGAGAGCGGACGTAGAGCAGCGCGCGGTATCTTCGCGAGACCTGTTTGTCGGAGCATTTATGTAACCGAGATTTAGATAACCGAGGGAAAACCAAATTAGTCAGTGTAATTCCGGCGCGACGAGCAATTAGCAAAGTCTGGATACGTAGCATTGATCGAGAACGAAATGTCTCTCAGTGGAGCGCACATCGCGACAGTGATTTTTATCGTATCTTAATCAAGGTGAACTTCCTGATTGGTGACTAAATACTCGAATAATTGCTCAATAATTATTTGAATATTTCGTTGCTTTTGTTCCTTCGTCATTTACTATCTCTATGATAATTCATACTGCAATGTCGGTGCGGGTCAGCTTCAGCAAAAATATTGTGCAAAGGAATGTATGTTTAACGCGTTTAATTTCTGCTATAATATTTTCATGCTTCCGATACTGCCAGAAAGAACAGGATAACGAGTTCACGAACGAGCCAAATACGCGTACGTGCCTCCGGCGAAATATTCAGATACACATCGTGACTACTCGTGTTCATAGATAGCTTTATCTACAGTTTAAACTACGCTGGTTAGCGCTCATTGGAAAATTACGAACACCCGGTCGCGCGAGGGAAAGTTGAGCGCGATAATCGACTGTCGCGATCTGGTCGTTCCGAGTCCGGTTCGAAGATTAGATTCGGTGGCGCTCGATAATCCGCATTCCAATTTCACTTTTTCTTTTATTTCTTCGTTTTTTTCATACGACGATCTAATCGCCTCAAGACGCTTATACATATATCGATAATTATATCTCGTAATAATCGCTGACTGATAGGCCGCGGGCACACTTTTGCGACTCGTGAACTTTTGCCCGAGACACAGAAGAAAAATCGGCTGCGTAATTGGCCCCCAGCCGGAATTAGGTCGTCGTCGTCGTCGCGTGTTCGCCGACTCGCGCACCGTCTCGGTTATCGGATGAGAAAAGGATCCCACAGATCCTTTAAGGACTCGCAAGGGTCCTACGATGTTCCGACAAAATCCACCAGAAGGCAGCAGGTTCTGGCAGGCAGGTTCGGTAATGCCGGAGCTGGAAAAATACAAGGGAGAGATTTTGGGCCAGCTCCGGGCCCGGGCTCCGGGGGGGAGGGGGGCGTACAGACCGGTTCATCCTGCTGTGCAGCGCGCGTGCAACGTTGAGTCTCGCCGCCTGGTGGCGCCACTTACGCGGCAAGTCTCCGTCGTGGGCTATCAGTCTCGCTCCAGCCGTGCGGCGTGTCGGACACGTGTGCGCGGAGCGCGAGCGTTTTCAGGTTCGATTAGTCTCGCTTCGAAAGCCGAAGCCTTCCGCCGAAGAATAATTGAATGCTCATGCAACACGCGCGTACACAATACATTTTTTTCCGCCCTGTTACTGCTGTTACCGGGAAATATATTACGACCGCTCTCTCGACCGCGGAGCGCGAATCGAGCGAAATCGGAGAGCGCGAGTAGGCGAATCTGATGGAAATGAGGAATCGGTGGTTGAGATAAATAAAAACTCTCGATTTTGAGAAAGAGATCAACACGTTTATTTGATGCTCTCGCAAAGAGTCGCTTTTCCTAGCCGAATTATAAATTTAACTTTTTTGCACTCGTATAAATATAAATAACGCGTTATTAACCACATTCGCTCCCCCTGTCATGCACACCCTCACAGTGCACCGTCTCTCTCAACAGACTCTCTCGCATTCTGCACACGACTTCTTAATCCTAGAGTCTAAGTCATATATATCGACTACGACGACGAGCTTCCTCTTCGCGCTTATACAACCACGATATATACAACTCGGCTAGAGTTTTACGTACAAGAAACAGAATGGAAGACCTCGGTGATTCTTGTTGCGTAAGGCACTTAAAATATAATATTCGCATAATTTATATACACAATCGATGATCGACGAATAGTGAGTAGGGGGGAGATAGCGACGGTAGGACGCGGCGCGGTAGGACAAGAGGGAAAGAGGAGTAAAAAGAGGAGACGAAGAATCAAAAGGCAAAAATGTCGCGACACCATTCGAGGAGGAACATCATTTGCGCTTGTCTGCCCGACACACGTTTCGGCAAAGAAGAATCGTAATAAAAAGGAAGAATCGTATTTACAAGGCACTAGTGATAAGGCACACTGCCACCAATTGGCTACTGGCCGACTGCACGCGGACGCTCGTCGGAAGGAGGAAAGGAAGAAAGGAAGGAAGGAAGGAAGGAAGGAAGGAAGGAAGGAAGGAAGGAAGGAAGGAAGGCAGGCAGGCAGGGCGGAAGAAATCGCGTCTTCTCTCTCAGCGAAATAATCGCATCTAACTTAGCGGCGGCGGCGGCGGCGTCGTCGTCACGTTCTCCCTTTCGCGAACGGAATAGCAGAGGAAAGGGGAGGGGGAGGGGGAGGGGGAGGGGAGCCGCGTCTACAACGGTCTACGTAATTGAGGAACATGTTTCCTTTCCTCCGCGAAAGTCCGTTCACGCAGCTACGTTGATCGGGGCGTTGAAACACGCGTTGAAACGGCGAACGAATTCTCGAGCGCGGCCGCGCGGTCGACGGACCGTCACACGTCGGGATTGTGTCAGGTATCACTTCGGCTTATCATCACGCACGGCACAATCAAACAAAGTTCGATCACCGCCCGATTGTCCCTTTTACCACGGCCTCCATGGTTTCCCCTCCACCGGCTGCACCACGCTCTTTCTCATCACTAGAGCGAGGGGTTTCTGAAGGGGTGGGCTGCAGATACGCGGGTCGAACTCGAGATCACTCGTGTAGCCGTTCGCCGGGGACGTCGCGACGTCTCTGTGGCTGTTGCCCGAACTGTAGCCGGTCGACTGATCGCGGAAAGACGCCGGCGACGCCTCGAACGTTACCGGGCTCGCCGCCGACGTGGAAGTCGAGCTGGTGGAGGACGACGAGGAGGACGATGACGCTGTGCTGGCCGTTCGCTGGGGGATGGGGATTAATGTTGGTAACGGTGAGGTTGGCGTAGGTGACGAGGAGGGTGACGTAACCGGTGTCGCCTTCGCTCCCGCCGGGAGCACCAAGGCGATGTCGCCGTTCGCCAATCTGGTCGGCAGCAACTGCAGACCGGTGCCGTTGGCGTTGGTGAAGAATATGCCGTTCGACTGTTGCACTTGGATCCGCGGAGTGGCGTCGACCTGCGGCAGGATGTGCACTTGCAGTTGCGTCGTCGGTGGCGCCGGCTGGACAGGCTGTTGAGCCGTCGTTTGGCCGTTGTTGCTGTTGGCATCGGCCGGGCCTATGCACGAGGCCAGGTGGGCCAGCAGACGTCGCTTCACCGAAGTATCCAACCCGGGAAACTTGCCAACCTCGCTGGCGCACTCGGTGAAACCGGCGCGGAATTTATTCAGGATGGTCGGATCCGCCGATGCGGTCAGAGCGACCGACTGCCGTTGGAGGTTTTCCATATGTTTCACGGCCATTTCCAAAATGTCGGCTTTCTCGAGCTTCGAGTGCCTTGATGGCTGTAACAGAGAGGAAAATTGACGGATTGATTATGCGCGACCGGTCGAGCAGAGAGAGATCAGTAGCCAGAATGGTGACGTGGTGGATAATTTCTATCTGTCCGATTGGAAATTTGGTCTGACATATTTCCCGGGAATCGAAAGAGAAATTTTTTCGAGAGGTGTCGCAGCGTGTCAAACTGACTGTTACCGAGGAACAACGGTTTATGCCAAAGTAGAAAAACAAAAGATACGCGCGTGAATTCAATAACGAACGATATCAAGATACTTACGTCTTTTTTCATAGCATCCAATACGAGAGTCTTCAGGTCATTTAAAGAGTTATTGATTCGAGCACGACGTCTCTTCTCCATAATAGGCTTATTGCTCTGCAAAACGAAAGATATTTCCGCCGTTAAGCAACAGTAGCGGGAGAGTCTCGCGGTTGTCGTAAGAAAAACGGGTCGTAAAAAGACTCGAGGAGGTTTCGACAGGGGGAACTTGACGCGAAATCTATTTCAAGTTTAAGGCACCAACTTGGCCTTCTCGTTGCGCTATTTCCCAATTAAAAGGTAGATCCGTTTAAAATTCTGTCAGGTGGTCATGCATCTACTTGATTTTATCTCAATTCAACGGTTTACTAATGATCACGATGACGATAATGATCATGATTTTTTTATTTATCCGAAAAAGAAAAAAAGACGATTAATTTAATGGTTTATCGGTCGAAAATGTTGGAAAAGTTTCCCGATGATAGAAATTTCTTCGTAAGAGACTGACCCGTCGATTTTCGCTGGATCTTCGCGTAGTCGTCACGGGCGGGGTAGTCTGCGCCGGCGGCTGACCAGCCTCCTGAGGCACGTGTTGCGCGGGCGGCGTAGCGCCGACGGTGACACCGCCCGTCGGCATTGTGGTACCTACTCCGGTCACCATCCTTCTGGTCTCTTTCTCTCTTTTTTTCTGCTCTCTCGCTTTCTCTCTCTCTCTCTCTCTCTCTCTCTCTCGCTCTCGCTCTCTCTCTCTCGCTCTTTTTCTGCTCTCTCGCTTTCTCTCTCTCTCTCTCTCTCTCTCTCTCTCTCTCTCTCTATCTCTCTCTTCCTGCCTCTGTATCACAGAATCCGGCAAAACCCTAAATCGCCAATACTCGTTTAATGTACAAACACTGGCGGTACCGATGTATCACTTCACTGATAATCCAGTACTTTATTGCGTTGATGCGTCGCCCTCGTCTCACACTGTCGACCGACGCGTAAACGCGGTGAAATCCAAGGAATCACGGATACGAGAACATAAAGTCGCAGATTACGTGATTACGAGAGGTAGTTTACACCCGGCTGTACGTCCCTTGCGCGAGTCTCTCCTCACTCAACGTCTCGCGCCCAGCCACTCGGGACTAGTGTCAGAGCTCGACTGACTCGGCGAGCGACGAACGTTTTCTGTCGCACGGTCGCGGAGCGTGGCACTCGATGGAATGCCTAGTGGTAGTGCCGCCACTTTCGGTAGTGGTGGGGAACGACGAGGGAGACAGAGAGGTATGGTGGGAGAAACAGCGCGTGACGCTTTAACCCGAGTACTCCTACCATCGAATTCTGACAGTCGGACACAGTCGGCACCCGATTGCCTTTAAGGCCCCCACTCTGGACTCGGTCCCCTCCCCGTGCGACCGATGCCGAGAGAGGCACAGCTTGCTCCTCGCGATCTCCTCCGGGCCTTTCCGGAGTCGATCGATTGGCTTTCCTAGCAAGATTGACGTGGGCGATCTCCAATCGAATTTTTGACTACTCTTTCTTTTTTTTTTTATTCTTCGTTTCACTTTAATTTTTACGAAATTTGAAATACGGACAATTATCTGCGATCTCCTTCGTCCGCCATTTTTTGTTTCTCTTTTCCTTTCCTTTTTTTCACGATATTTCGTGTCGAACAATACTTTATCGTAACGGGTAATTCTCCGTAATCTCCTACTGTTTCATCGCCGGTGAAAAATGCGTGTACATTCATCGAATCGTTCGGATTCGTTGGGGATCATGCGAGTAGCCCGCGATTTTAATTCCCGCGACTGTTGTTCGCGCGTCATAAATTCACCGACGAGCTGAAAAAGCTGAGAAACAATGGAGCAGAACGTTTCCACGGAGACCGTCGGCGATTAGTCTCGCGCCTGCAAAGGTCATTAGAACCGGCTGGCCGGCCAGGCGCGTTTGCATACGAGGTCGATCGGCCTGGTAATGGCAATTCCGACGCGGACGCGCGCGTATGCGACCAGTCGCGCGAACGTCATCGGGGCTTATATCACGTTCCTCGAAAATAGCCGAGTGCCACCGTGTGCGGAGTGTCTGACGCACGCGCATAGCTCCGGCACGTGCCTCGCACTCCTTCCCCGTGTGCCTTTCGAAATTGCTCCTTCCCTCCCTCCCTCTCTCTCTCTCTCTCTCTCTCTCCTTCATTCTCCTCCTCCCTCCTCTCTCTCTCTCTCTCTCTCTCTCTCTCTCTCTCTGCTTGGCGACCGATTAAACGCACACGGCACTGTATTTATCTCGGTCATCGCACATACGCGCACGTACGCACGTTCTGAAATACGACTGCATTGATCCCTCTCGCCGGATCTTACTTTGTTGACGGTTGTTTGGACGGCGCGCTGTAAAGCGTGCAAATATTGTGACGTACTTTGATATCGCGGTGCGCGTTCAATCCTCACACAGCGATGACTCCTTTGAATAATTGGAGCTTAGGTTTCGCGGGAGATTGCCAAGAGAAAGAGTGGGTCGAGAGAGGATACGGTAACCTTCGCTTCCGCTGGTAACAGCGGGAATTGATTAATGACAAATGCCTCAATAAAACATTGCATGCCATTTTGTTTCGCAATCATACGACGAATGATTAAATTCGACTTGGGTAGTTACTTGCGAATGTGGTTCTGTGTATCCCAACGTCTGTCTAGTGATTGCCACTTCTACGATTACAGAGTTCAGATATCACTACGGTCTATCTGACGAGAATTGTATTCCAAGTAATTAATTTAATTGATTCCAAAGGCGCGCCATCCGGATATGTTGCGACTTGTGTGCAAGCAAGGACGATAAAAATGCTTCGTCGGACGTAGACTGGACTGGGGGACTTAAAATCGTGTAAAATACGCATATCTAAAGCACAGAGGCGAGATAATGATTGCTCTCACGAGATTCGCGCGACCCGCTGCTTCGCGACTCACGATCGCAGTATCCCGCTTCAAGTTGTACGGTACCCTATGTCGGAGTAGACAGCGGGAAAACGAAAAGGGGGACGCAGGTTCAGGAGTTCGTAGAAGCGCGGTAGGTAGGTAGATAGGTAGGTAGGTAGATAGGTAGGTAGGTAGGTAGGTAGGTAGGTAGGTAGGTAGGTAGGTAGGTGGGTAGGTAGGTAGGTAGGTAGGTAGGCAGGCAAGCAGGCAGGTAGGTAGGTGCAACGAGACTTGCCTGTGGAGAGGATCGGGCTCGTGTCCTCGCGTGAAAGAGAAATACTATGGTAGGAAGAGAGAGAAAGAGAGACACAGAGCAGAACGGAGGCTCCAGCTAACCGACAAAGAAGAGGAGCGAGAAAGACATAGAGAGAGAGAGGGAGGGAAAGATGGAGAGAAAGGAGGCAGAGTGAGACCGTCGACTCGATGTGAAACGAGGAGAACAGTAACGGAGAGAGCGAAAAACAGACAAAGAAGACAACAGCAAGAGAGACGGCGCGCGACTGCATCCACAGACTGCATCTGCGGGGAAAGACGAGGCTGAAGCGCGTCGCCAATCACGTGACCAGGATTCGACGCGGCGTACGACTAAAGCGCGTGGATTGGCCCTATGCCGCTCCCACCAGGAGGTCCGGCCGAGGACGAGCGTGCCGCGCGCGCCGTTTACGTGGGTGGTGGGGGTGTGAGCGTCATTCGACTCGAAGCGCTCGAGTCGTGCGGGCGCGCGTGGGTCGCGAGCTAGAGCGTGTTCCGAAGAGGTATGCGTGGGGGTGGCTGCGGCGGCGGCGGCGGCGGCAATTATGTGGAAGAGGGTGGGTAGGCGGCAAGAGATCGAGGAATTCATATGTACTACCGTCATGCAACTGACGTGACGTACACCTCTCGTTGAGACAGCTGTGCGTAATCATTTTGTCTCCTGTCTCGTCGATCAGAAGAGCGAAGGATTACTAACGGGAAAAATCACTCTTTCTTTTCCCCTTTTTTTCTCCCACTTTTTAGGATTGTAATTATATGAAATATTTTTGTCACCTAAGAATATATGTCGAATTAGCAAGTATAGTATTTCGAATATATCGAAATGTACGCAAAAGTGGATCAGAGTGCATGATGCCCAATCCCATATCTTTTTGATGGGTGCACCCAATCGCTTAATATGTGATGTTGATGGTGGTGATTATACCGATTATATCGATAATGATCGGAATTATCGTATATGAATGCAACATTGTAACAATGTTGGTATGTGTGTGTGTGTGTGTGTGTGTGATGTATTAAACTCGCGATATAAATATCGCATTACGATCAAGACAAGACGATGTACTCGCTCACACATGATCTCTAAATTTCGTTCAGATTTGGCACTCGGCATGATATTGTGCTTCCATCTACCGGTGGGAGCTGTAAGTTTTTTTTCGTCGGGCCACAGCGACGAACCAAGCTGTGGACCTGTGAGTGGATTTTGCCGAGTAGCCGACAGCACACACATGCGCGCTCAAATGCGAAGATTGAGCAAATATTTTAGGAGAAGGGGAAAAGATATACGACAGAAAAATGTATTCCTAAATAATGGTTTTACACGCGTTTACACGCGTGCTAACGAGTACGTTAGCGGTGCTCCGCCAAAATTTATTTACAGCATTTCTTCGTAAAAATTCTTTCCGGTTAACTCGTAGCTCTCGATTCGTAGGAATTCAGTTCTCCTTGCGATCATCGACCGAGATTATGAGATTATAAATTCCATAAATTCACGAAGCGGTTGTCCTTCCATGACATTCGCGCTCGCTTACATAAGACTGTACGCCGATAAGCTCTAATAAGCAACGTGCTATTTCATACCCGAGCGATAACTAAGCGTCGGCGAAATGTCGGTAGACGAATTTAGAAGTATTTCGGTCAAGGAGTTCATGCCCCTTTTTATCATGTATCCGTAACCTTCGATCAAATCTATGCAAAATACATGCGGTAGTTCGATACATCGTGAACACTATTACTTACGAAAGTAAGGCGTCGAAAGAGATTCCTGCCGCATTGCGTACACGCGATATCATTTCTTCGTTCGTTTCTTCATTCGACAAAGAGTCGAACCGAGAAGGGACCAAGTCTCAGTTTTACGCGTAATTTTCTCGTACAAATTACGGTCGAGTCAGTTTGAGTGAAAAATTCGGACGTCGGATCGTCCAGATCGACGACGTCGAAAATCGGACGTAGGAACTTGATTAAATTGCTCATTCAGTCGACGGATTGAACAAGAAGTTGATCTAACACAGTACGAACAACCACGAGCCTGATTGGAAATCAGATTAAATCAATCAGAGACGAGAAAGCACGATCAAAATAATGTGGTGGGGACAGCTTTATGATCGCCTCGTTGGCTAACTAAATTCTGAGCTTATCTCTCAGACAGACGTGTAAAAAATTAAAAAGATATGAAAATTTTTCCGAGGCGACATGTCACACGTTATGTTACATGTCAATGCAAACTTTCCACATTTCCATATTTTTACACATTTTATCTCTCATCACGCACGAAGACGTATATAAGCTTTGCATTCTCTTCAAACGAAGGGAAAAAGAAGAGGGACAGAGAATCGCGAATTGCGTCCACCGGGATCGCACGACGAAACGTTTCGCGATACAAACATACAGCCGGCGCACGCAACGAAGATTAACGTACACGATGAACGTTGTTTGCGCGAGTATTCCGGTAGTTGCGGCGGCACCTGTTTCCACCGGCACCGGCGGGGGGGGAGGGGAGGGGGGACCTACGGCCCCTATGAACCCGGCGTGACTCATTAGCTTTATGGGGTGC